ACCGGCTTCACTTACCTATGCTCGAGACGGTCAGCATTGAATCCGCACGTGAAGTTATCATTTGCGAGTTTTGCTGCCAGCATTCGGGCAGGCAAAAATCTTCAGCACTATTTCCTCGTCGTGTTAAGGGTATTTTATAAAACATGAAATCAGCAAAGGTATGTATAAAAGTTATACTTTTGAAGCATGTTTTATCATTTTGAAAGGGTATATTTTTTCTTTATGGTATACACTTAAGTTTTAAAATTTTAATTGGGAAGTTTTTCTAGTAAGTTGCATGAAGGGTGAAGGGTTCCATAGATCTCTTAAGCATTGTAAAGGAAAAACCTTTACTCGACTTATTTGATGTTCTTTTCTGATGTTCTTTCTGATGTTCTTTTGATGAAACCTTTAGTTCAAACATGTTATCTTCTTCCTTTTTATTTGTTCATCTTTTTGTCTCAGTTGCGCCATCAATGCAAATGGCAGAATGATATGTTGCCATGACAACAGGATATGCCAGCCGTCCTAGCTGCCACATCAAACGACCTTTAGTGGTGATATAAACAACGATCTTTTTTTTGGCCAATGTATTAAATGCAATGTTTCGGTTTTTTGTATATTGTGGACGCGCTAACCACGTCTAAAAATTCAAATAAGTAAAATAGATTCATAGAACAAAAATTTCGGAAGGTGGCACCCTTCCTTTAAAGTAATCTGCCATTTCACATATATAAAAATCAAAATGTCCGTATGTATGTATGTATGTATGTGACGCGTCAGTCACGCTTGGCGGGCTATTGCTCCGGAACGGTGCGGGCTACGGGGGTGAAATTTTCGCGCCGAGTCGGACGCGTGCATCTGTTTGTTGTATTAAATTTTGGTGGGGGTGCGCTCGCCGGTTTGCACGTGGTGGGCGCATCTTTGCGGGATTTTGGGCCGCGGCCGTCGCCGATCAGAGAGCACGCGCCTTAGGCTCAGATTGTTCGCTGCGAAAATGAGGGAAAACAGAGCCGGCAGGTCACTGACCTTTGGCAATGAATACCGGAACAGAGCACCGCCGGCTTAGAGGAGACGCAACATTTATTCTGGCAATAACTCGGCCGCTACTGGGCCGATTTTATTGAAACTTGATTTATTACGCCGCGCGTAATGCTGTCCCTCTAGTTCACATATATAAAAATCAAAACGTCTGTACGTATGTATGTATGTAACGCGTCAGTCACGCTTGGCGGGCTATTGCTCCGGAACGGTGCGGGCTACGGGGGTGAAATTTTCGACGTAAGTCGGACGCGTGCATCTGTTTGTCGTATTAAATTTTGGTGGGGGTGGGTTCGGTGGTTTGCACGTGGCGGGCGCATCTTTGCAGCATTTTGGGCCGCGGCCGGCGCCGAGCAGACGGCACGCGCCCTAGGCTCAGATTGTTCGCTGCGAAAATGAGGGAAATCAGAGCCGGCAGGTCACTGACCTTTGGCAATGAATACCGGAACAGAGCACCGCCGGCCAGGAGGAGACGCCAAATTTATTCTGGCCATAACTCGGCCGCTACTAGGCCGATTTTATTGAAAATTGACTTATTACGCTGCGCGTAATGCTGTCCCTCTTTACGCTGCGCGTAATGCTGTCCCTCAAGTTTACATATATAAAAATCAAGATGTCTGTACGTATGTATGTATGTATGTATGTAACGCGTCAGTCACGCTTGGCGGGCTATTGCTCCGGAACGGTGCGGGCTACGGGGGTGAAATTTTTACCGTAAGTCGGACGCGTGCATCTGTTTGTCGTATTAAATTTTGGAGGGGGTGCGTGCAGCGGTGTGCACGTGGCGGGCGCATCTTTGCAGCATTTTGGGCCGCGGCCGGCGCCGAGCAGACGGCACGCGCCCTAGGCTCAGATTGTTCGCTGCGAAAATGAGGGAAAACAGAGTCGGAGGTCGTTGACCTTTGGCAATGAATACCGGAACAGAGCACCGCCGCGCCGGCCAGGAGGAGACGCCAAATTTATTCTGGCAATAATTCGGCCGCTACTGGGCCGATTTCAATGAAACTTGGTTTATTACGCTGCGCGTAATGCTGTCCCTCTTTACGCTGCGCGTAATGCTGTCCCTCTAGTTTACATATATAAAAATCAAAATGTCCGTATGTATGTATGTATGTAACGCGTCAGTCACGCTTGGCGGGCTATTGCTCCAGAACGGTGCGGGCTACGGGGGTGAAATTTTGAACGTAAGTCGGAGGCGTGCATCTGTTTGTCGTATTAAATTTTGGTGGGGGTGGGTTCGGCGGTTTGCACGTGGCGGGCGAATCTTTGCGGGATTTTGGGCCGCGGCCGGTTTCGAGCAGACGGCACGCGCCTTAGGCTCAGATTGTTCGCTGCGAAAACTGAGCGAAATCAGAGCCGGAAGGTCACTGACCTTTGGCAATGAATACCGGAACAGGGCACCGCCGGCCAAGAGGAGACGCCAAATTTATTCTGGCCATAACTCGGCCGCTACTGGACCGATTTTAATGAAAATTGGTTTATTAGGCTGCGCGTAATGCTGTCCCTCTTTACGCTGCGCGTAATGCTGTCCCTCTAGTTTACATATATAAAAATCAAAATGTCCGTATGTATGTATGTATGTAACGCGTCAGTCACGCTTGGCGGGCTATTGCTCCGGAACGGTGCGGGCTACGGGGGTGAAATTTTCGACTGAAGTCGGACGCGTGCATCTGTTTGTTGTATTAAATTTTGGAGGGGGTGCGTGCAGCGGTGTGCACGTGGCGGGCGCATCTTTGCAGCATTTTGGGCCGCGGCCGGCGCCGAGCAGAGAGCACGTGCTCTAGGCTCAGATTGTTCGCTGCGAAAACTGAGCGAAATCAGAGCCGGAAGGTCACTGACCTTTGGCAATGAATACCGGAACAGGGCACCGCCGGCCAGGAGGAGACGCCAAATTTATTCTGGCCATATCTCGGCCGCTACTGGGCCGATTTTATTGAAAGTTGATTCATTACGCTGCGCGTAATGCTGTCCCTCTTTACGCTGCGCGTAATGCTGTCCCTCTAGTTTACATATATAAAAATCAAAATGTCCGTATGTATGTATGTAACGCGTCAGTCACGCTTGGCGGGCTATTGCTACGGAACGGTGCGGGCTACGGGGGTGAAATTTTTAACGTAAGTCGGACGCGTGCATCTGTTTGTCGTATTAAATTTTGGTGGGGGTGCGCTCGGCGGTTTGCACGTGGCGGGCGCATCTTTGCGGGATTTTGGGCCGCGGCCGGCGCCGATCAGAGAGCACGCGCATTATCCTCAGTTTCTTCGCTGCAAAACTGGGTGAAATCAGAGCCGGAAGGTCACTGACCTTTGGCAATGAATACCGGAACAGAGCACCGCCGGCCAGGAGGAGTCGCCAAATTTATTCTGGCCATAACTCGGCCGCTACTGGGCCGATTTTATTGAAACTTGATTTATTACGCTGCGCGTAATGCTGGACACCTAGTTTACATATATAAAAATCAAAATGTCCGTATGTATGTATGTAACGCGTCAGTCACGCTTGGCGGGCTGTTGCGAGGCGACGGTGCGGGCTACGGGGTTGAAATTTTGGGCGCAAGTCGGACGCGTGCATCTGTTTGTTGTATTAAATTTTGCGAGAGGTGCGCTCGGTGGCTTGCACATGGCGGGCGCATCTTTGCGGGATTTTGGGCCGCGGCCGGCTTCGAGCAGAGAGCACGTGCTACAGGCTCAGTTTCTTCGCTTGCCAAACTGAGCGAAATCAGAGCCGTCAGGTCACTGACCTTTGGCAATGAATACCGGAACAGAGCACCGCCGGCCAGGAGGAGACGCCAAATTTATTCTGGCAATAACTCGGCCGCTACTGGGCCGATTTTAATGAAAATTGATTCATTACGCTGCGCGTAATGCTGTCCCTCTTTACGCTGCGCGTAATGCTGTCCCTCTAGTCTCATATGAAAATACATTCATTTTGTTACAGCTCTGGCTCCGTATTATTTAATATTCAGCGTCACACATACGTATGTACAATTCTCCCTCAATATCGTTCGGTAGGGTGGTTTGGTTACTGGCCAAGTGACGGTGTTGTATGTGACTAACCGTTTTGAATAATTCGCTTTCAAAACTTCCCAAGCATATTTAACTAAAATGTTATTGAAGAAGTTCGTAGATCCATTTATGGAATTTGCCATTGAATCGTCAATATACTGATTTGTGGGATGGGGCGTTTAATGGCGGTAATAAATTAATCGCTCGCATTTCCACCATCAAACGCTCACTTTATCGGACTACATAACAAGATAAGGCCAAAAATAGTGCGCTCACATGGGTCTTAGCGCCAAAGATAATCACGTTTACAGCAGACAGCTTCTACCGAAACTGCAGAGGGACTTCCCAATCTAATTTCCATGAACGCTGAACAACGGCTATTGTTTGAAGATTATCTGACGTTACTCTGAGATCAACTAACTTTGACTTGAATTCTGTATTATTTGTTTAATTTATAATACTCGTATATTCAGCATTAGCCTATGGTGAAAGAGTAAGAATTTTACACATACCAGGCTTCCTGGACCACTGGGTATGTATACCGACTGTGACATGACTTGTGAAATGACTTGAAATTTGACCTGAGCCGTTCCCTGCTCCTTGACATGACCCATGATCTGCCATCTGCCATGTGACCTGACCTGTGACCTGACCTGTGTTTTGGTGGATGACCCGTCCCTAAGTGTGACCTGCCCTGTGCCCAGGCTTGTATCCTGACCCGTGACTTGACCAGTTATTTGTCATGTACCCTGACCTGTGATCTGACCTTACACCTGCTTTGAAACCTAAACTGTGGCCTAGCCTGTAAGTGTACCCTCGCTTTCTGTCCTGTGACCTAGCTTGTGATCTTCCCTGTATCATGGCCAGTGACGTGCTGCATGTCTGACCTCTGACCTGACCCCTGACCCGTGACATATGACCTGACCTCTGACCTAACCTGTGGCCTGACCTCTGACCCGACCTCTGACCCTCCCACAGAGTCGCCGCTGCCCGACCTCTCAATGAGCGTTCGGAAGCCGATAACGGTCACCTCCGGCCGTGACGCCCTTCTCACCTGTGTGGTCAACGACTTGGGCAACCACACCTTGCTCTGGAAGAAAGTGGAGGACCATAATGGCGAGGAAAAGACGATGATCCTGACGGCGGGAGCGTACCGCGTCACCAATGACTCGAGGGTCATGGTGCTGCATGATATCGGTGAGGAAGGGATGAGGTTGATGGAGAGGTTGTTTGACATCTTCTGGGTGGATGATTCTAGTTGAGGATGTGGAGTGCGTGTGAAGGCTTAAAGTAAGGTCAAGATTATATACATATAAAAGAAATAGGCATGTTTGACATTTGGTTGCCACTGTTTGACGTTGTTCGGAGTTTTGAATGCATGAGCTCATTTTATGTCGTGTAGGCGCTAATTGCTTCAAATGCCGGCGCAGTGCGCTGTTATCACGTTTTGTTCCGCTGCGTCAAACGCTTCCAACAGCCACTACCATCGTTTTTCTCAGAGAGAATTTAACATTTGGGGTGAGCATGGTAGCAATCTGGGATTGCATGCACCGTTGAGGCTTGCATTTTAACCAATCAAACATTTTTACGTCGTATTTTTGCAATTTCCTTTTATATTTGCTTTGCATCCGTATTAATGCGCTTTATGAGGTATTTGCCCTAACCCCAGAGTAAGGCGCTTGTGTTTGCTGATTATTAGCCAGATGAGCACGCACTTACAAACGTTGTGCTTCATTTCTAGCCAGGAGGAAAGGCTCCGATGCACTACACGGTAAGTTTATCGTCAGCTCTGTGTAAATAACTTAAACTACAGAAATATATCATTTGGTGACGCGCTCATTTTCACGACTTGGTGGTGTTTCTCAGCGAGGTATTGATTTTCTTCTAGGTAGGTGGAAACACCATAATTTAGCTGGAATCTCATGAAAGAGAGGTCGCTGTTCATGTGCATGGCATAGCCACTGGGATCAGGGGTGGAGAATTAGTTGTTTTGGGGGTGCTCGAGCACCCCCTGAAACCCAAAAGTCACCATATTATAGTGCTTCAGGGGTGTTTTAATTACGTCTAAGATACAAACTGCTTTGTGTAAGCCGCAATGAGAGTGATGCTGCTGGGAAAACGTACCCAAATGTGCTATTCCACGCAAGGATTTGACGCTTCCATTCGCCAGGTGGCAGAAAAGCACCCCCTGGGATTTTGACAATTCTCCGCCCCTGACTGGGATTCTTTCATTACGTTTTGGCACGCAAATTGATATTGGTGTAAAGGTTTGTAGAGGATAGGTTTTGTGAAACGCTGATTTGCTTTTTCAGTATGCTTTTCTGGTGACGGCTCTTTCACTCTGCATGCCCATTGGCTGTGAACTAATTGTTGTATATTTTCTTACTTGTGGCGCTTTATTTAGGACTACTTGATTTGAGAACAAAATGACTGACATCATAACTGTAACTACCAGAATGTGTTTCTGTAAAATGTTGCTTATGAACGAAATCTCAGAAACATCGTACAGACATATGATATGTATATATGTTACAGGGAGTATGAGAAATCAGTTAGTTTACAAACTACCTAGGGAGTTTGCAAACTCCCTGAACGATCAGGTAGTTTGCAAACTCCCTAGGTAGTTTGCAAAGTACCTGGTCGAACAGGTAGTTTGCATACTCCCTAGGTAGTTTGCAAAGTACCTGGTCGAACAGGTAGTTTGCATACTCCCTAGGTAGTTTGCAAAGTCCCTAGTTAGTTTGCAAACTCCCTAGGGTTGTTGCAAACTACCTAGGTAAAATGCGAAAACGACGAAACAACAGCCATATACGGGTACATATGTAGATAAGACGCGATGAATTGGTTCAGAGCTCAGAATGAAGCTTGGCAGCAATGGTGCGTAACGAGACGATGTGGTGTTTTGATGACGCTCTTTCGCAGCTTAGTGCTTACTATTTATTATTGTCTTGCTCGCAAATATCACCTTACAGATTAATGTCTGCCTTTTTTCTTGTAGTCGACAACATGTTACGTTGCCATCCACCTCCTTTCCTTGGACGTCAGCGGCCTCTCCTCCACCGGTCTGGCGTCCATCAGAAAGCGGATGACGTCGCTATGTTCGGCGTCTTCCACGACTCGAGTTATTGCCGCTCAACGCTTCCTCCCATTCCCGGAACCTCTGATCGAACAGTTCGCGAGACATCCCCAGTCTCCACAGAACCACAGAGCAACCACAGAACAGAAATTGCGATCACTATGCTGCCTCTTCACACTCCGCTCAGCACTGATGACCCGCCTGCAGTGAGCACCGTCCACCAGCCGTGACCCGACAGCGCCTTTCATCCGTATCCCACAGGCACAGACTGACTTGACCTGTCAAGCTCAGGGCAGTCGACTGCTGGCTACCAGGATCGGGTGGAAGCGGGGCGTTGGGTTGACTAAAGATGACAACCTTATTTCTAACCCGCGCCCCGTAGGGGGGGGGCCGAAACGCCCCCCTGTCCTTTTCCGTCAATATCTCCATAAACGGCTGCAGATATCGCCACTTAACTTTCAGGACTTCTTCGAGCATCAATTTTACACATTGTGACCAAAAATATTACCAGAGGCTATGATAGGTTGGCCACAAATGACGTCAGAATGACGTCATGTTGTGCCATTTTCGACCAAAAAAGAGCTTTGCGAGAAGAGCTGTCAGGCCTACAGCTTTGAAGATACAGAAAAATGATAAAAACATAAAAGGTGTGGAATCGACAGGGCTACAAAACTGCTATCATATATTTTTGAAATTTTAGATTTTTGACCCCCAAAAATACAAAAGTGATTTTTTGGATCCATTGCCCAAAACATCTAAAAAGTTCTTTTTTTTAATTTTGGAAAAAAAGCGGAATATAAATGATAGTATATACCTACCGTCTTCTATCTACATACCAAATTTCAGATCGATACCTCTTTTTTTGCCAAGTTATAGCGAAAAAACTGTTCAAAAATGATGACATAAAATTTGTAAACTCAATTTTTGGATACTTTGCTATCTGAGGTCACTGATACCAGGTCAGGTCACAGAGCAGAGGTCAGGTCACTGGGGGTCACAATATGAAAGTGTCGAGTGATACATGTTTTATGGTCCATATTACATGACAAATGCGAATATGTGGGTCAGGCAGCCTTTGGGGCCAGCTTAGGTTACGTTCTGGTGAAGGTCAGGTCAAGGTCAGGTCAAATTAGGTCAAATTTTAAAGTTGATGTTTTTGCATAAAATGGGTATCGAGTCGATTCAGCTCGTCACGGTGAGTCTAATGGTGGTCTTTGTTTTGACCTACGTGTTATAGAATTCCCAAAAATTGAGTTTGAAAATTTTACTTCATCATTTTTGAGCGTTTTTTTTTCGATGTAACTTGGCCAAAAGAGATATCCATCTGAAATTTGGTATGTAGGTAGAAGACGGTAGTTTTTTTTCGGAACTCAAAGACATTGATTTTTTGGGGTAATATATCCAATGTCATTTTTAATTTTTTTTTGGGTCAAAAATCAAAAATTGAAAAAAAAATCCGATATAGCAGTTTCGTAGCCCTGTCAATTTCACACCATTTATGTTCCATCATTTTTTCTGCATCTTCAAAGCTGTAGGTCTGACAGCTCTTCTCGCGAAGCTATTTTTCGGTCGAATGGCAGAACATTACGTCATTCTGAACGTCATTTGTGGCCAACCTATCATAGCCTCTGGGAATAATTTTGGTCACAATGTGTAAAATTGATGCCCAGAGAATTCCTGAAAGTTAAGTGGCGATATCTGCAGCCGTTTAGGAGATATTGACGGAAAAGGACAGGGGGGCGAAACGAACATAGCGACGTTTCGCCCCCTCCCCCCCTTACGGGGCGCGGGTTATAAATAATGATGTCATCTTCAGTCAACCTTCCACCCGATCCTGGTAGCCAGCAGTCGACTGCCCTGAGCTTGACAGGTCAGGTCAGTCTGTGCCTGTGGGATACGGATGAAAGGCGCTGTCGGGTCACGGCTGGTGGACGGTGCTCAGTGCAGGCGGGTCATCAGTGCTGAGCGGAGTGTGAAGAGGCAGCATAGTGATCGCAATTTTTGTTCTGTGGTTGCTCTGTGGTTCTGTGGGGATGTCTCGCGAACTGTTCGATCAGAGGTTCCGGGAATTGGAGGAAGCGTTGAGCGGCAATAACTCGAGTCGTGGAAGACGCCGAACATAGCGACGTCATCCGCTTTCTGATGGACGCCAGACCAGTGGAGGAGAGGCCGCTGACGTCCAAGGAAAGGAGGTGGATGGCAACGTAACATGTTGTCGACTGCAAGAAAAAGGCAGACATTAATCTGTAAGGTGATATTTGCGAGCAAGACAAAAATAAATAGTAAGCACTAAGCTGCGAAAGAGCGTCATCAAAACACCACATTGTCTCGTTATGCACCATTGCTGCCAAGCTTCATTCTGAGCTCTGAACCAATTCATCGCGTCTCTTATCTACATATGTACTCGTATATGGCTGTTGTTTCGTCGTTTCCGCATTTTACCTAGGTAGTTTGCAACAACCCTAGGGAGTTTGCAAACTAACTAGGGACTTTGCAAACTACCTAGGGAGTATGCAAACTACCTGTTCGACCAGGTACTTTGCAAACTACCTAGGGAGTTTGCAAACTACCTGATCGTTCAGGGAGTTTGCAAACTCCCTAGGTAGTTTGCAAACTAACTGATTTCTGATACTCCCTGTAACATATACATCTCACATTAGTTACTGTGGGCACACTGCTGCACAAAGCACACATTTAGCTCCTTCCAATTAGTGCATAGCTGGGGCTGAGCAATCTATACTTTACTACTGTTAGCTATACTACCTGTGATATACCTATTTGCGATGAATGTGATATGTGATTCGCTTCCTCTCATTCCGAGCCGGGTAGTTTCTATTAAGCTTCGAGGCAATAGATTCGTATTTCCCAAGACATGCAACCAATATGGTAGACGTGATGTTTCTTCTTGCTTATGTGTTGGTCATGTCTAATAAAAACCAGGATCTGGTATTACGTGTAACAAAGTCCTTGAAAATGCTTCTTGTCATATCATTATACATTTTAACCATCTAATCATAGCACTAACACACATGGCCGGGAGAGAACAAAAGTGATGCATCTAAACGTACAACCGTAACCCGAACTTTTTTAACTGCGAGCAGAAGCTCTCACAAAAGCATAGAGAAAATCGTATAATGTTATTCTAGGGTCATGATCTTGTCGGTTTAGAATATGCCTCGAGATCTGACGATTTTTGTGAAATGTCTCCATATATCTGACGATTTTCGCGATATGTCTCCAGGAGGTGATGTGTTCGTGCTGGCCATTCAAAACGCCTCTGTCAGCGATACGGGAATGTACGTCTGCGAGGTCAACAGCTCACCGGTGGTGCGCTCTTACCATCAGCTCACAGGTGAGAACCATGAGTTGACCGGTGAGAAACACCAGCTCACAGGTGAGAACCTTATGCTTACAGGCTAGAAATATAGATTCAACGTTGAGAACCAGCAGCTCACATGAAAGCCATCTGCTTACTGTAAGAACTGAGCAACGACAGCTCACGTCAAAGGTGAGATTCATGTGCTCACAGGACAGAGCCGTAAGTTAAACGGTGAGAGACATGTGCTTTAACGATACCGTCACCAACTCAGTCACAGGTTACCGGCCCGATTGCCTTGTTTTTTTTTTTCCGCAATCTATCCAGTTTTCCTTGACTGATTTCATTTTATTGCTATCCTGGGTATGTAAGAACCTTGCTTAGTGCGGTTCCAAAGTAGTAGAAGTTTCATTGAGGTCGGGAAAAATGTAAACAAGAAAATAAAACTCCTCCGTTGTCCGTACCTCAATCTGTGTAATACAATCAATGGGGCCGCGCTATCACTGTTATAAACTTAAAGAATACTTATTTTTTTTCGGTTCGGTTCGGTTTCGAACTCGCGTTCGCTAATTGGGTTCCGATACTCGCGGTTGTCGGTTAACCCGCGCCCAGATGGGGTCTGCCGAGCAACGCGGTCTGATGGGGGGGGGGGCCATTTTGGCCCCCCCTCAGATCTCGAGAACCACGCAACATAGCGACAAGCGGTAAACGGTGTTGGATAGCCCCAGCGGGGAACTACCTTGTGACCCAATTTCATTGACCTCGGTCAAACCGATGACGTCACAGGTCAGGTCAAAGGTCGAATTTTCACCGTTTACAGGCATTTCAAGAAATGCGTTGTAAAATCGATTAAAATGCATTTCATTGAAAATCATCGATGGAGAAATGTTCTTCAAACACATATTTTGCTATTTGAGGTCACTGATACCAGGTCAGGTCACAGAGGTCAGGTCACTGGGGGGTCACAATATGAAAGTGTCGTGTGATACATGTTTTATGGTCCATTTTACATGACAAATGCGATTATGTGGGTCAGACAGACTTTAGGGCCAGCTTAGGTCACGTTTTGGTCAAGGTCAGGTCAAGGTCAGGTCAAGGTCAGGTCAAATTAGGTCAAATTTCAGAGTTGATATTTTTGCATAAAATGGGTATCGATTCGATGCAGCTCGTCACGGGGAGTTCAATAGTGGTCTCCGTTTTGCGCTACGAGGTCTAGAATTGCTAAAAATTGAGTTCAAAAATTTGACGTCATCAATTTTTAACAGTTTTTTCGCTATAACTTGGCCAAAAAAAGAGGTATCGATCTAAAATTTGGTATGTATATCGAAGAGCGCAGGGACTATCACATATATTCCGGTTTTTTTTGAAATTCGAAATTTTTTTGGAATTTTTTTGAGTTTTTCTTAAAAAAATCAATTTTTTTGATTTTTGGGGGTCAAAATCCCAAAATTTCGAAAATCCGAGATAGCAGTTTTGTAGCGCCGTCTTTTCTCTACACAACCACACAAAGAACTTTAAAATTGCTTGTTAACTGTAGAATTGGTGAGCGTTTCAAGATGTCATGTTTTTTGCTCATTTTTGCTCGAACATGACCTCAGTTTGACCTCAATAACTCCTGACCTGAGGCGACCTGTGACTTGAAATTTTGTGTGAAGGTGTCAAATTGATGCCCGGTAAGGTGCCCAAAATTTGGCGGCGCTGCGCGCCGCCGTTTTCTCGCTATTTAAGAAAAACCACAGGGGGGGCCAAAATGGCCCCCCCCCATCAGGGCGCGGGTTAAGCTACTCGCGCCGGAAAGAGGATGTCGGTCGGGTCCTCTCCCTGGCGACAACAAACACATGGTGAGACAGCGGATTGCTATGAGATACAAATGATAAGTCAGGAATTCACAGCAAAGCCGACGTTTTGAAAGAAAATGAGGAGGGTAGAGGGCAGGGCCAACGCAACAGCCTTCGCTTAGCTTCCTCTGTCCTTGTGAATCCCTCCATTAAAAGGTTCGTACTAAATTTATAAAAAAAAATCTACGCAACACGCATTTTAGCCTACAAAGCAACAACTTGGCATTTTAGAAGACCTTCAGCATTGACAATAAAAATTCATGGTGATTGGAATTATATCTATATCGTCTACGCAAGGCAAAGACTCAGATAAAATGGAAATGTGAACAAATGTTACGCATGCATGAATACATCTTAAATTTATAATGACTTTCTTTGTTATCATTCATGCCCTTAAAGCGATCACAAAGTAGACGTCAGAGTTAAGTATCACCGATAACGTCGAATTATCATTTATTAGGCCACATAAAACCGGAGAGAGAAACGTAGGGCACATTAAGATTGATTTATCCTCTCATGCTGCATAAAGTTCGCCCACGCATTTGCCGATCATTATGAAAGAGGAACTAGATCTGATCAGTTTGCTGCTACGGATTGTATTATTCTACACCACATATCACGCCATTAGCAATTAAATCGCTGCCTGTGTAAGTAAAAAGGCGTCTTCGTAACTTTTCCGATGAAAGTTTTAATTAAATCCGTGATCACGCTCCGCCACCTTCCACTATGTTTTATGAAATAACCTGATTTCGGGCTCTCTCCTTCCCAATCTTCATATCTTCATCTCCTTTTTTAGCTACTCTGATGCTCCTCCAATGCCTGTTTTTGAACCCGGCTATCGTTTAGCAGTTATCACTCATCAGTATTGCCTGGACATTATCACCTGAACAAGGCCATGTTGAAGCTTGTGTTAGGTTTGCAGTTCGCAATACACTGTCAGGGTTATTTGCCACATTGCCACTTATCGGATTTGCATAGCGTTTATGGCCATCAGCTAATTGTGAGCGGGTCCATTTCCAAGTGTTTTGTATAGTTTGAAGTCTTTCGGGACTCATCACTACCTTTATGCACATTGAGTTCCTGACAATGGAAACGCAACTGTGCTAAAAAAAAAAAACGCACCGTAATGCACATCAGCTATATGGTTTTGTTTTGGATATTTATTTGATAAAAACTTGTGCTGTAGCCTGTAGATTTATGATACACTCCCCTTCCACTACCCATCGATCTAAATTTAGAGCAGATTCATCGTGTCGTGAGACCACCCTGTCGATGCGCTGCTTATGAGAGAAGTTCAGTGATGCTGCCGGTAACTTGATCTGATAAACAGAGGCTACAGGGCAGGCAGCCACCCTCCCCGCTTCCGTCGCGTCCAGACATCGACTTCCTCCGCCACTCCTCTCTCTCTCTCTCTCTCTCTCTCTCTCTCTCTCTCTCTCTCTCTCTCTCTCTCTCTCTCTCTCTCTCTCTCTCTCTCTCTTCTCCCTCCCTCCTTCCACCTCTTTCTCTGAGCTGCTTTCTCTCCCCTCCCTCCCTCCATTTCTCTCTCTTCATGTCTGTCTGTCTGTCTGTCTGTCAGTCTGTCTGTATGTGTCTCACTCTTGCTCTTTCTCTCTCTCTCTCTTTCTCTCTCTCTCTCTCTCTCTCTCTCTCTCTCTCTCTCTCTCTCTCTCTCTCTCTCTCTCTCTCTCTCTCTCTCTCGGAGTTGCTCCCTTCCTCATTCTCTGAGCCGCCTTCTCCCCCTCCCATTCTGTCTCGCTCACAGGGGAGCAATGCCGCTTGAACCCTATTGGCCGTAGTGTCTAACGGTGGCGGCCATATTGCGCAGACCAAGAAACGGCTGCCGCCTGTGTTGAGGAATAGGGAATTCGGGACCTCGATTTACGTTTGCGGCCGCCGCATCCGTTACGTTCAAGTTACGTAGATACGGAACCCGGCATCTTACGCAGAATTGAGTGGGGAACACGATCGTATCTTCAGAATTTCTCAAATTCACTCGCCGGACCTACATTTGCCCCGGCCGAGGGGTTGATTGAACCCACCTCGCTAATGCGCCGCTAATTAAACTAGAATTAAGCGGTAAATTGGTCGTTTGCGACAAAGGATAATGCAGAGTGACTGGTAGGAACCCACTGTAAAGGTCCCGGGTCAACCGGTGACCTCTGAGGTCAGGTCAAGTGATCTAAGGCACGGGTTCGGTTTTTGGTAAATAACTTCGCCAAAAATGGCCGTAGAGCCGCGATTTTGGCATCATCGTGTTCAGCTAGCTCAGGCGCATCGAGTGATATACTTTTTGTTCGGGTCAGGTCAACTTAGGGTGTTGACCTCAGGTCAAGGTCAGGTCAGCACCCCCAGGTCACGAAGATGGTCGAAAGAGGTCATGTCGCATATCATTCGATTCGGCAGGTCTTCCTGAGTCCATTGGTGGCTTTCCCGACTCGCTAGCTCAATTTGATCGGGAGTTATTGAAGAAAAACTGTGACCCTTGTGACGTCACAAATGACGTCACGCAAGGGCAACAATGCAAATATGAAGCATAGAACCTTGCAAGGAGTGCATGAAATCATGATTTTATATGCTTGAGATACTTTCAGATCATTCTCGGCGCCAAAATAGCAATTTTCATATTTCCCCATTGACTTATAAGGGCTTAACGTATAAGTTCCTTGTATCTGAGAAGTTTTTAGATTTCATCTTATTCTCCACTCAATTCTGCGTAAGATGCCGGGTTCCGTGTCCACATAGCTTAAACGTAACGGATGCAGCGACCGCAAACGTAAATCGAGGTCCCGAATTCCCTATTCCCCAACACAGGCGGCGGCCGCTTCCTGGTCTGCGCAACCATGGCGGCACCGTTGGACACCATCTGGCGGCCGATGCGCATTCCACATTATAGAGTTCAGTGGTCTCGCTCCACTCTGCTCGACCTCCCTCTCTCCTCTATATTCCCCTGATATCGCTCCCGCCCTCACGCCCTGCCCCGTCTCTGGTTCCCTCTTACCACCACTCCCCTCCCGCCTTATCCCCGCCTCTCGCTGACTCCCTCACTATGTCCCCGCCTCCAGCTCGTTGCCCCTTCCCATTGCCATCCCATCCCTGCCTTTGGCCCGCCGTCTCCCAACCACCGTCACCCCCATCCCCTCATACCCCTCCACTCCCACATGGAGGCCAGTTTCAGCCCCGGCAGTGCCCCGGGGCAAAGAGCACAGTAATTAGTCGCAGTAGACGACACCGGACCGGTAAGGTAAACAAGCAACTGTCAACATGGAGCACGGAGAGCGAGGTAACGGGCAGCGACAGAGAGTCCCGTGGGTTGTACTGTGTAGTGTGTGGCGTGTGATGGGGGTGACCCGGTACACAACAAAGGAGTTTGCTGAAAGCCAGGGAGAAAATAGAGAGGAGTTTGACGAGGAAGAGTTTTAATCGAGTGTTAGCTTTTGGTTGCCGGAGGGGCAGTGGCTTACTTGCACCGTCTGCCTCGCTAAAAGCATTATTGTGGCCCACATCTTGACCCAAACACGTATTTGTACCGATGACGTCATAAGTGCGCGCTAACACACTTGTGTGATGTAGTGCGGTAAGATTGATTATGCAGTAAAATAAGGCCTATTGCGTCCGCATTGGATGGCTAATTTTGGAAGGAAGCAAAATAGCGTTGGACTCAGGGAAGCGTAAGATACCAGTGATTGAATATAATACCTATATCTGGAATGTTACCAAGCAATTTCCACAGTTGGGTAATGAATAATAACGAGAGATAATATTGGCAACTTTTAATGAAACTGACCTTTTTAGGCACTAGCTAGCTACCAAGACGACTGTTCATTTGATTCAGACGTGGCTCGACCCAGAACAGGACAAAACAGACTCGGAAACACACCTATCTCTGGGATTGCGTGGAGGTATTGCTGTCACTTTTTACCCCGTTTGCTTGTCCGGGATAATGCCATTGGCCATTGCTAACTGTATTAGACGTCTATCTAAACTGTATGGGCGTTTTTTTTTCTAGCTGAACTCACACCAAAACTCTGAATGTTTGCACTTCAATGCCAGCTGTCATTGATATCCTACCTCAGAAAGCAGAAGACGCAACTGCCTGCATTAACAATATTGATTTGCTGTTCGCTACGGATCCATAGATGGATATTCGGTTTTGTTTGCTTCAGGATAAGCAGGTTTTATTTTACTCCAAACTCTTCCATTGTTCCTCACCCCAAACGAACTCACCCTTGCCACTTATGACTTAATTCACGCTGTAATTATTTGTTCTCATCCCCACAGTTTCTGAGCTGGGAGCGGCTACCAGCAGCGCCATAGACTCGAGGGAATCGTACGACTACACCTCCTGCTGCCAGCGGCATAACGTCTCGGACAGCTGCATCGGACTCTGCAACTTATATGTAAGTCGCAGGTTCAATTCCCAATAATAGCAGACGTGGTATCGCGCTGGCTGGTAGGCAGACTCGACACACGAGTAGTGCAAAATTGTATTGAAGGAGTTTATTTTTTAATAATTTATATTCATGTGATATTTTCATGCTGGGCTTAAGTTTCATTGCATGGAATTTGTGTGACCGTCTCCTAAGTATTGCATTCACTTCTCAATTTATGTAGAAGCATCGACTTTTTATAAATGTTAGCATTCGTACTCTAGGATCAAAGTGCCCCGTTATACCCGCTATGAGGAGTTGAATGTTTCACCTATATTACTTCCACAGGGTCTTCACAACGGTAACCAGTCGGAGGAGTCGGACTGTGAGGCCGACTTTCCGCACATCATTCAGTGCATGGCCGGTAAGTCCGCAGGTCGCAACGTCCAAAACGCATCCTCCAAAATCGCTGCGTATCCTTGTATAATGTAGAAATATTATGGGGCACTTTGTATTTTTATGTAGTGTTTTTAGCCATGAAGCTTGAGTTTCTTTCATGAAGATCAATCGTAATATTTTTCCACCTGACCCTACTTGATTTGACCCTACTTGACGCTACTTGATCTGACCCACCTAGCCTTACCCGACCCGACCTGACCCGACCTGACCCGACCTGACCCGACCCGACCTCCCACCCTCAGACGGCCGGAACCACATGCCGTGCTGCGAGGAGCAGGGCGTTCCGGCCATGTGTAGTGGGATCTGCCGTGGCCAGTACGTCACCCAGCGGGACAGCATCAAGGATCACTTCAGCTGTGTGGCCTTCTCCAGCATCATGCTTAACTGCGTTGCTCGGGGACTAGGTTAGTTTGGGGTTGACATTGTGCTTTAGTTGCACACACCGCAGTCTAACGTTTCATGTTGACCGCTACAAGGTCTAGATGATTTTTTTTTTTGTCTTCAGTAAAACACCAAATGAATTTTTAAATAGCCTAAATATTTCCCAGTAGATGAGAGGTAAACTTAATGTAGCATAAGCTAGTTAAATATAAACTAGTTTTTTTTTTAAAAGTCGTATTTGTATTGTGGTCGATTTAACAAACAACACAAATTTACTGCACCTTCAATATTTTGTTTGCCTTCTCCAATTTCCCCACACACGGTTCGTGACACGCGATGGCTCATTTGGCACCACGGCCGGCTGCCGGTATTTTTCTGGGGAAGCTGTTTGTTACCTGCCGGGCCCTCTCAATAAAGTACGTGATCGCGTGCAGACCCGTCCGTCGGCCATTGATCCGACTTCCGGGAGCTGTGTATTGTGCCCTCCGCACCTGGCGATAGGCCGGTGAAATATGAATTCTGTTTTGAGTCTTCCTTGCTGGGGTGTCAATCTACTGTCGATCTACCGATCTATTAGTGGCTGGGGGTTATTATTTTATGTGTTTTTATTCGTTTAGTATTTGAAAATGAACAGCAATGAGCGATAAGCAGACAAGTAAAATAAGAAGTGAAAGACACACATGGCCTTACCAGTTCATTCTTGTTTGCCCTTGCGGGTTCATTCATAGGTTTCGATGTTAAAACGCAATAATTGATCGATCATGGTAACTAATTGGATTGTCATACAACCGCAAACTTTCCTGATAAAACATTGACCTCTAAAACGAAATCTACCTCAGTCATATTAGCTCAGTCAAATTATGTCTATCAGTTTGGAAACAGAAATGCAATGGCCATTTAGCCACGAGATAATCATAAACCTGTTCAGTAATGACCATCAACGATTATCTCCGCAGACACTCTACCCTCGGCGCCGCGGAATATTCAAGTCTCCGTCAAGTCCCTCACCGAGCTACAGGTCACGTGGTCTCGGCGTCGCACGAACGCCCCGCCCCCTGACCTCTTTACGGTCAACGTGACCCGCCTGAGGCGATTTGACGGCAACATGCTGGGACTGGATGTCAATGGGACCGAACTGGGAGTGACGCAGGCTCAGGACACGCAGCTTTATAATGTGAGTCATGTTATCATGTTGATAGGTGGCTAGGCGGAAAGGGATGATTCTGGTTGTGTTTTACCTCTTGTAAAGTTTATGACTGTTTGTGTATATTTATGCATTAGTCGAGTTTTTTTTTTTTTTTTTTTGAAGGACATCCGAACGTTGGGAGATACTTGATTGGCCGCACATATCACTTAAATGTCCTCATAAAGGAGCTACTCATGCCATGATTTTTTTATGCCGCCCCCCAAATTATCTTGCTTATCTTTTGAACTATCAGATGCCTGGATAGTTTGGTAGTGGAATGCCACCCCCTCCCCCCCAATAGAAGTGATTAGAAATGCCAACCAGGGATCTCCACCTTTTGCAAAACCGTTTATAACACCAGTATAGCGCCTTTTGGGGCGACTAACGGAGCGAGCGAGAGGGTGAGCCTTGCACGTGCGAAATTTCGAGGGGGTACCTCCAACTGACTTGTGCACGGCACCCTACTAACCGGTCTCTAGCGATGTGCCAAATTTGAGCACAATCGGCCCAGCCGTTCTCGAGATCTGGAAGCGGCACCCTGCACGTGCGCACGTGCAGAATGGGTCCCAACTGACTTGTGCACGGCACTCTACTAACTGGTCCCTAACCGTGTACCAAATTTGAGCGCTTTCGGTCCAGCCGTTCTCGAGATCTGGAAACGACCCCTGCACGTGCGCACGTGCAGCAGCACCCCAACTCTGGCACATGGATATGCAGTGCCTAGTGGGTGCCTACCTACATGCCAACTTTCAGCGCAATCGGCCAAGTAGTTACCGAGATATTGCAACAATTACAAAACTGACACCTCTTCGTTTTGCGCGTGGCACGTGCATAAGGGGTCACCCACATGCATCGGGAATAGTCCAATACTTGGTAGAAGGAATGAAGCTACCCTACAAAAATTACCCCGTGTAAATCGGTCAAATGGTTGCTGAGATATAAGCCTCGCAAAAGCGTCCGCACGGCCGGCCGGCCGGCCGGCCGGCCGCTCATACTCAGAAATTTCCGTTAATCTAAGGAAAGACTACGCTCGCTTCGCTCGCTCCGTAATTACTAAACTAATGTCTACCTCACACAGCCAATCTGGTAGAACCTAGTAGAACTAATTTCCGCCACAACATTGCGATCATCAGATAAATAGCGTTTTCCCTGTCTCGCCCACTCTCCATGATAGCGAATGTTTCCTGTGTGCGCCGCGAATGTCTTCGGGCAACGTAGATCCATTATGGTGCGTCATTTTCGCCTTTTGGTCTGGTGCGGCCACCACGCCGCGTCGCTTTGAGACCCAGTCTTGTGGTAAATTGCGCTCTGGGGCTGAAGAGCACCAGAAAGCTGATCTGTAGGCTGTGGATAACATTATTCTAGGAAGAATTTATGCTGCCATGAAGCCCCCGGCATGCATTGTTTTCTTTGAAGCTGAGATGCAATATAGTATACCGAACAACTATATTTCATATCCAGTAATTTCTATGTGATATATTGGCTCATCGTTGGACTTAATCCAATTTATAAATATCGATATTATAGACGGCAAACGAAAGATTATTATGACCCATAACCTCGGCATTTCGAGTGCTGCATTCTGTCTATTCATGCTTAACCCGCGCCCCGTTGGGCTCTGCCGAGCAAGGCAGCAAGGTTGGGGGGGGGGCATTTTGCCCCCCCCCCCTAAGATCTCGAGAACCACGCAACCTAGCGACAAGCGGCAAACGGTGTTGGATAGCCCTATCAGGGAACTACCTTGTGACCCAATTTTATTGACCTAGGTCAAACCGATGACGTCACAGGTCAGGTCAAAGGTCGAATTTTCACCGTTTACAGGCATTTCAAGAAATGCGTTGTAAAATCGAGTAAAATGCATTTCATTGAAAATCATCGATGGAGAAATGTTCTTCAAACACAAATTTTGCTATTTGAGGTCACTGATACCAGGTCAGGTCACAGAGGTCAGGTCACTGGGGGGTCACAATATGAAAGTGTCGTGTGATACAGTTTTATGGTCC